CTTTCAGCTGAAGTCCAACTTCAGTAAGACTTGTTCTCCAAAGACATGAGTCCATGGACAATTCTGGGATATTGCCTTAACTGAGCCTTGTATCCCAGAAAGCTATTATCCGAAACATTGCCTTCAGTTGGCCCTGTGTTTCGGATATCCATTTTTTAAAGAACTCTAGTCTTTCAGCTGAAGTCAAGCTTCAGTAAGACTTGTATCCCAGAAGCATTGCCTTCAGTTGGCCCTGTGTTTCGGATACCCATTTTTAAGAAGTGAAGAAATTGTTTATTCAGCTGAAGCCATACTTCAATTTCTGGGGGGGCAAGAAGCACTATCAGTGCAAGTTTATGTTCAGCAGAATTGAAGAAACAGTAAAGCATTCAAAAACAAAGCAGCTGAAGAAAAGAACATCAAATTAATAATTTATGCTCAGAAATTGAGCTACAAGTTCAAATACACTGTATCGGCAGCCGCCCACAAGCGGAAAATAACAGCTGCCGAAATACGTACAGAAGCAAAAAATTAAACTGTTTTGTACGACAAGGCAAGCTGAAGCAAAAAACAAGGCAAAAAATTCAGAAAGCGGCAAGTCTAAAGTTAAGCTCATGATGAACCGCTAGATTCTGAAGACGACTGCCCGAGTTCCTATGCTTCAGCCCGAGGATCAGACTGATCAGCATTGTTGAGCCCCATGGTGGCCTCAACCCCAGCAGCAGAAGAAGCAGGCTTTGCACTCTGCCGAGCCTCCCTTTCCCTCTGTTCAGCCTCCAACTCCATTCTCTCAGCTTCTTCTTCGGCTTCCTCAGCCTTAAGAATTTCAGCTTCGACTGGAGTTGCATACTTCATATGAGGGTCTTCGGGATTCTGGATCCATTCAGCACATTTGGACCAGTCCAGCTTCGGCTCAGCATGAAGGCAGACTCTTCGGCATACTCTGAACCCGTTTCTGAAACCCATTTCATATTCTTCCTGGGTATAGACACGGACTTTGAGTAGAGCCTCAGCATCAGCCAACTTCTTCTAGGTCTCCTCCAAGTCTTCCTTGGATTTCTTCAGCTCATCGGCGAGCTTGGAGGAGGAACCTTTCAGCTCATTCAGCTCCTGCTGAACTTGGGAAGCCTTTGTCTGAGCCTGGGCCACTTCTACTTTTTTGGCCATCAGTTGATCCTCAGCCTCATGGAGTTTAGCTCTTTGAACTTCAGCAGCAGCAGCAGCCTCTGAGAGTTGGACATCCCTGGCTTGGAGCAGCTCTTCAGCAGCCATTCTGCTGGCTTCAAGAGCTTCTAGCCGTTGCTGCACTTCAGCTTGCGCAGCAGCTCCTTCCTGGATTCGGCTCTCAATGGCAGCCTTGAATCTGGAGACGTCCACTCCCATGTGCTCTTGGAGGAATTTTTCCCCTTCCATCAGTGGGGGAAAAACTTCCTTCTCCATAGCGTCGCAGAAGGTTTTGAAGGCTTCAGCAGCCTTTTTCTCGTATTCCTCACCCTTCTGATGCTTCTCTTCAGCTGCTGCTTGCTTCAGCTTAGCAAGCTTTAATTACTCTTCGGCTACCTTCTTGTCGTGCTCGGCAGCGTCTACCCTATCTTGTAGGGTATCCATCAGCTCTACAGTGAGAGTCTGATTGTGCACGAACTGAAAACAGGAGCACAAGTAAAAAAAAAATAATAATAAAAATAGAGCTGAATTTTAGAGGAAATAAAGGCAAGGAAAATCACCTGCATCATCAGCAGTTGGTTAGACCTGGCTGGGTCAAGAACTGATCTGCTGGATTCGCCCATCCCAGCAGTGGCCTTCAGCGACCAGATTCTTGCCCTATCTACTTCGGACATGCCAGCAAAATCGCCGAAGTAGGCTGCAGCACCTTCTCGGTTCTGACCCCATATGAGGTCCCAGATGTGATCTGGGATTGGAATTCGGGGGGCCGAGAAACCCATTTCTCCAGATTGCAGAGTCTGGAAGGAAGGAAAGGATGACGATGGAGCTTCTTTAGCTTTGGATGGCTCAGCATCATCCTTCTCAGAAGAGTCAATTATTATGACTTCTTCTTCTTCAGGGGTGAGGACGAAAGCCTCAACCTCTCTTGCAATGTCTGCCGTGAAACCCTTCAGCACTGGGCATCACGGCATCCTTATTTTTGTGCTCAGCAGCACTCTCCTGAACTTCTTCTTGGACCCCTCCCTTAGATTCGGGAGTTCTCTGATCCACCTCCATCTCAGGAGGTGGCGGAGGGGTCTTTTGAGGTGATTGGGGTGGTGGCCGGGGAACCCTCGGCGATCCATTGCCTTCCTCGGGTTCCCTTATTTCAACGCCGATGGTCATCGGCCTTCGCTGAAAGTCATGAGGGCCGATGATGGCCATTCTTCGGCGCCTTTTCTGAAGGGGCTGCTCGTCCATGTCTGAGTCTGAAGACTCTTCTTGTATCTGGTCTTCGGGACGAACATGGGCTTTCCCTTCTCTGTGTCTGTTACTCTCTTCAGACTGTAAAAGACAGGGGGGAGGAAGAATGTGAGTACAAAAAAAAAAAAAAAAAAAAGAAAGACAAAGTTAAGTCTGAAAGCTCACCAAGGTCTTCAGCAAAGCCTCGTCTTCTTCAGCTGCCCTAGCTGCAGCTTCTTCTTCAGCAGCTCTGGAGGACCCTTCTCCTCCTTCGCAAGCTTCGATAACCCGTGCAACCTCTTCGGCCGTACGGGCAGCTTCAGCTTCTTCGTCCAACAGCTGAAACCAGGGGTCTCTCTTCTTCCACCAAGGCTTCTGCCTCTGATACAGAGCAACAGCCTCAATTTGGAAGTGGGAAGAGTCTAGATGAACTTCCCTATGCCTCGGTTCAGTGATAGACGGGGCCCGATCAGTTACAGCTCGTTCTCGGTTGACACCAAGACGAGCGTAGTTAATGCCAACGTTGGTCTCGTCCCGCTTTGAAAAAGAAAAGGGGAAAGGTCAGTTCAGTTAGGTTGGCACAGCATAAAAAAAGCAAAGTGAGAGAAGAAAAAGAGATAATTAAAAAGCCTCGGCCCCAGCCGAAGAAGCTTACCATCCTTAAACTTTCGGCTGAGGCCAACAGCTGCTAGCATGTTCTCTTGGAAAACATAATGCGTATCGGGGAGCCAAGTCTCCGGGATATGCTGCATTCGGCCGCTGCCCCCCCGGTTCGGCAGCTTGCCGAAGATGTTCTGCTGATTAAGGTTCGGATCTGGCCCGTTGTCTGCGGGGGGACCTAGACTTCCCATGTCGGGATCAGGCTCAGCAAGGTACCGGGGAGCGCTGAATACGCAAGGGTGGCCCGGATCCGTGGGTGCCCTAACCCAAATCCATTGACCTCTCCATTCCTTGTCTGAAGAGTCGTTCGGCCACATGGTTAGGTACTGGGGCCGGGACTCAATCCGGTACCACCATGAACCATGGCTTCCGTGCCCACTTTGAATATTTGGCACTAGCCGATGAAGCTTTTTGAAGCAGTGCAGGTTCGGCACATACTTGAAGAACTTGCAAACCCATAAGTATGTCATCACCCTTCGGATGCTGGTAGGAGTTAGCTGACATAGGGAGATATTGTAATGGATCAGCAAGTCTCGGACGAATACGTCCAAAGGGAACCTCAGCCCGTACTGAAGCTGTCTTGTGTACACCCCCACATACCCCGGGGGTGGACGATGGATTCTATCGGATGCCGCGGGCATTCGGCACCAATACCCATCAGCTTCAAAAATGCCGTAATGCAACTCAATTTGCTCGGCAAACCGATATTGTTCGGCATTCTCCACCCACCATGAGTAGGGGCGGTTCTTTATCATGGCCGAAGCTACTTCGGCATTCTCCCATTCTGAAAACCCGGGTAGGATATCCAAGGACAGCGGGAACTTCATCGTCCCGTCCAGAAGCGCTCGGCCTCTCCGTTCTCTGAGGAGGAGCCGAGGAAATTGGAGTCGCCCTAATCCCTTCAGCAGGGTCAGACTCTGGCCTTTGTCCATTCCACGTCCCAATCCTGTTCCTAGGATCGGGAATTGGCCTTGCTCTTCTTGGAGCACGGGCTCTACCTCTAACTCCTCTTACCATTGATTATTTCGAAGTAAAAAGTCGAAAAAAAAAGGGAAGGAGTTCGAATTCGAAGAAAAATAAACTGAAATCAAAGGAATTTACCTTAATCTGAAGCGAAAGTTGCCGATTTACGAGTTCGTAGTGGCAAGCCTCAGTTTCTAAGCTTAATGCTCGGGGAATTTGCGAAGTTTTGATGCGGGTTCTTGGGTTCTCTCGAGAATTCTGGGTTTGTGTTGGTGAATAAGTGAGGAGAGATGACGCGCTTCTGATTATATCTCCAGAAATGGGAATACGGGGAGTCCGCGTTTCAATTTCTCTTAAATACCCCACTAAGTAACCGTTAAACACACGACCTTGCGATTAAACTGCCCATTATCCGTCCAACTTCCACAATCATCCGCCTTAACCGTTGTTATCTCATTAATTACGGTTTAAATTCAAATTTTTGGATTAATTAAATCATTCACTTCCCTCCTTTTCTTAATTAAATCAAACCCGACCCGTCATCCTTCCAAATCGGGTCTGGGGGGAAAGTTGTTTGGGTCCAATTTAGTCCAATTGGGCCTAGGCATTAAATGATCCAATTAAAAGCCCAAGGTCAAGGTTCATCTCTCCAATTGTGCTAAAGTCAAAGGTCAGCCCTCAAAGCAAGCCAATTGGGCTAAGGCCCAACTTCTCCATGTATGAAGAGGTATAAAAGCCATCAATATTACATTTTCACATTCATTCATATACTCTCATACATTCTCATATACTCAAGCAAAGCCTCAAGCAACTAATTCTCTTGCATAGTGTTCTCTTTCTACACATTGTACTGACTTTAGCATCGGAGGGGCCTTCCTCGGCAACACCCCCGAGGCTAGTTTACGTGTATTTACTGTGCAGGAAACCTTCGGCCCAACATTACTTGGACCGAATCTAGTCTTCTCCGTTTCAGCGGACCTTCGGCAAGGTCCCATTATTTTCATCCGAAACACCAGCTAATACAGTTGTCTGTGCACCAAGATTGTGATCTACCAGTCTTGCCAGCCCGAAATCTCCAAGCTTGGAATTGAAGTCGGAATCAAGCATGACATTGCTTGGATTGATATCTCTATGCAATACACATTGTTCCCAATCTTGGTGTAGATATAGCAAGGCAGATGCCAAATCTTGTACAACTTTGTACCTCGTTGCCCAGGGTAAAACAACCTTTCTCTTGCCTGCATAAAGATGGGTGTCAAGACTTCCATTAGGTATAAATTCATAAACAAGAAGCAACTCTGCTCGTTCATGGCACCAACCAAGAAGTTGAACCAAATTTTTATGCCTCAAACGGCTAATAATCTTCACTTCTGACATGTACTCTTTTATCCCTTGCTTTGATCCCTTTGATATCTTCTTAACAGCAATTTCCTTGCTTTGATCCCTTTGATATCACCTAAGCTAGCTTTTGTTGCTCACAGTGCTTCATCTCCAGGACAAAGCAGCTCATGGAATGTCACCCTCACACAACAATAGTTTGATCTGAACAGCTATTAAGATAGCATTACTGAAAATAGTCAAGTATGTGCAACTTGTCCCATGGCAAAATTCACAAAGCTGCCTTATGATTTGAGTTCCTCTCATGCATCTCATCCTTTTGAATTGATTCACATGGATATCTTAGATCAGATAATGCTCTAGAATTCCATGACTAATATTGTCAAGATGTTATTGCAAATCTGGGAATTGTTGATCAGACATCCTGTTTTGATAGACCACAGCAAAATGACAGCAGCTCATTTGATCAACAGACTGCCCACACCATTTCTAAAGAACAAAACTCCTTATCAAGTCTTGTTCAAATCTTAACCAGACTATTCACACTTGAGAGTATTTGGGTGCCTGGCCTTTGCTGCCAACCTAGCTGGGACTACAGACAAGTTTCAGCCCAGAGGTGTATACTGTGTGTTCATTGGGTATCCTGCAACTCAAAAGGGTTACAAGTTACTTGATATAAAATCAAAGAAAATCTTTGTATCTAGGGATGTCACATTCCATGAAACCATCTTTCCATTTCAACTTACCTCTCTTGATCAATACATGAAACCTGTGCCTTCCACTCTTACCCAAAAAGAAAACTTCAATCATATGTATATTGATGAAATTAAAGATCCAAACCAAAATGAAAACACAACAGACACACCAACTCCTATTTCAATTCCTACTTCTGATGCCACTCTAATCTCTTCACCTATTTCTAACTCCTATCAAATCCCTTCTCCTATTCCTGTTCCTTTTCAGACACAAAGTGATAGCCCTTTAACTTCTCTGGATACAGAACAAAATGTGAGGCAAAGCTCAAGACCAATGAAACCACCTGTTTGGATGAAAGATTACATCTAACCTAAGAAAAAATCTGAGATTCAGATAGCAAATTTGGCTTCTCAAGAAGTTGGTCATGAGTTTCATTGCTTTATGTCTACCCTTGCTACATCTCAAGACCCTATATTTTACAAACATGTTGTTACTAATCAGCATTGGGTGGATGCCATGAACAAGGAACTTGAACAATGTGAATTGAATGGCACTTGGACAGTCACTACTCTTCCACAAGGAAAAAGGGTGATTGGATGTAAATGGATATACAAGACAAAATTCAAGTCCAATGGTGATATTGAGAGACATAAAGCCAGAATAGTTGTTTTGGGTTGCATATAACAATATGGGGTGGATTACAGTGAAACTTTTGCTCTTGTTGCCAAGATGACCACTGTCAAAACTCTCTTAGTTGTAGCTGCAATGCATGGTTGGGTTACCACTCTGTAGACACCCAAATGTGTATCCCTAAAACCAAACCCAGTGATGAATACCTTTCATGTCATTTGATTATCGTACATAGCGAAAGTGTGAAAAGTCTAGTGATGAGGATGTTTTTATTAAAATTTCTCTTCTTTCTGTTTTTGAAAATATTTCTTTTCTTACCCTATTTATGTAAAACGTGCATTCCAGTTTATTTTGGTCCATTATATGGGTCCAATAATATTGTAGTTGTGTGGGGTTTAAAAAGACCTTTCCAACGATATATTATAAGCCCAATTCCGATGAATAATGAGGAAGTTATGGCCAAAATACTGAACTGGGCTCAAACCGGATTTTACCAACGGCCCAATGATCATATGGAGGGTCCAAAGGTTTAATCCTATTCCTAAAATAATTAGGATTTATTATAATCTTCTATAAGTTTCTAAAAGATCTTAATCATCCTTTTTGAAAAGATAAAATCAAAGAGTTTGAAATTGAATAAAACTTTCCTTTTTTAAAATCCTAATTCTATTCGAATTTAAAGATGTTCAAAGATAGTCAGATATTATTTTTGTGCCTCATAATCTTTATCCAAATCTTATATGGTTGGATAGATTTTGAAATTATCTTTCCAATGATATATTATAATATTAATTCCTAGCTATAACGAAAAAGGTATGAATGGAATACGAAACTCTATCCAAAACTAACACCTTTCCACTATTTTTGCCATATATTTTTATCTACAAAATATTTTAATTTTATTCTAATTGGGTTGGAAATTAGACTTCAAGAGCTTTTCAACGACATATTATATGACTTATTTGGACTTCTGAATCAGAAGATATGATAAAAACAAAATCCGCAAAAACTGTCTTGCATCGCCAAACGACAGGTTCGTTGCCTGGCGACGAGCCCTGTCGCTAGCGACAGAGATATGTCTTATTCTTTTTCGAACTCTGATTCGTTTCAATCGATTCCTAACTATTTTCTTATAAATAGGGTCCTTCGACCTCCGTTTTCAATAACCAATTCTCAACCAAAATTCTCTAATTCTCTTCTCTCTCTAAGTTAAAAAAGCTTATTCTCTTTCTCCCTCTTTCTAGCCTAGCCCTTTTACAAACACAATTCCTCATACATTAGCACTAGAAGCACCTAGCCAAGTTCTAAGTTCTCTTCGTACTAAACGTGAAAGGTTCGATATTTTTGAGGGTTCGGTCCCAAATCTATATTTCAATTATTTGATTTAATTATTTTATTATTATTTTCCTTGAAGTTACTAATGAGTGTATTTTGTTATTAGAAAGAGATACGAGGTATCCAAGTAAGTTATTTAATTGCTTTATTGATCTTTTGATATAGAAATCATGCTTAGATTGTTATTTTGATTCCTAGTATCATGTTAGGTTGTTTTATTGCTTCCTAGTATCATGTTTAGGGTAACAACTAAAATTTCTAATATCAAGTATGATTAAAAGGATGATTCAACCAACATAGATAAACAGGTTTAGGGCAAATCTACTGATTGCATGTTAGTAAGAAAGTGCACATGAATACAAGTAGAACAAAGTAAAGGCCTATTATTAGGGCAGGTACTTTCTCTTTTAGATTAGATTTGTATCTTCATCCCCGAACACTAGTCATGGTTCCAGACCTATTGGAGTTGACGATCTCATGAATCGTTAAGGGGTGTAACCTTCACCCTATAAACGGTTTACAAGTTCCTAAAACTTGTTGGCGACTCTTTTGCTCTACCTTCCTTCCCTTTAGACGCCATCATGCTTAAGTGTATGATCACAGTGGGGTTCAAGTTTGGGGTGATGCTTGAAATATTCCCTACACACTCAAATGGTTGTAACCAATGCATTCTTTCATGGTGATCTGGATGAGGATGTTTATATGTCTCTCCTCAAGGGTACACTGGTCATGGTAGAAAAATTGTGGTTGATTTCCAAGGCAATGCTCCTGTCAAGAACACTCAACTTGTTTGCAAACTCAACAAGTCTTTGTATGGGCTTAAACAAGCCCCAAGACAATGGTTTGTCAAACTCTCTTCTTCTCTTGTCTCCTTTGGCTATACACAGTCAAAATCTGATTACAGCCATCCTGGTTTATGTTGATGATTTACTTATCACTGAAAATGATAAGAAAGAAATTATTACTCTGAAAACACTCTTGTCTTCTCACTTTCACATGAAAGATCTTGGTCCCTTGAGATACTTTCTTGGCTTAGAAATTGATCACACAAATCAAGGGATTTTTATTTCTCAAAAGAAATACATAACAGATGTGCTGAGAGATGAAGGTTTGCTTCATGCCAAACCTCTGAAGCTTCCAATTAATACTCACTTGAAGCTGGCACCTGATAAAGGCAAACCTTTACCAAATCCTTTAATTTATCATAAATTACTAGGGAAACTGATCTATCTGACCATCACTAGGCCTGATATATCATTTAATGTGCAATTGTTGAGTCAGTTCATGCATTTCCCTACATATACTCATTTGCAGGCTGTAAAAAGACTACTAAGATATTTGGCTGGCTCAACCTCTCAAGGAATACTTCTTGCTTCTTCTTCTGCAGCTCAGTTAACTGCTTAAAGTGATAGTGACTGGGCTAGTTGTCCATCTACTAGAAGGTCAACTACTGGCTATTGTATCCTTCTTGGGAAGTCACCTGTCTCTTGGAAGGCAAAGAAATAGTCTCTAGTTGCAAAATCATCAGCAGAGGCTGAGTACAGGGCCATGGCTCTCACATCCTGTGAGGTGACCTGGCTAAAAGCTCTGTTGAAAGATCTAGGCCTGTCTTCTCTAGGTACTACTCTTTTTATACTGTGATAATCAAGTTTCCATTGCAATAGCTGCAAATCCTGTTCTACATGTAGAAATTGACTTCCATTATGTTCGAGATATGGTCAGATCAGGTGATTTTATTACTGCTCACATTAATTCTGAAGATAAACTTGCTGATATACTCACTAAAGGCCTATCAGTGAAACAGCATCAGCAACTCTTGCACAAGCTTGGTGCTAGCAATCTTACTAGCCCTCAGCTTGAATAGGGGTTATGAGCAGGATATTTGTAGGGCACTTTGGTATTCTTACTAATGGAATCAAATATGTTATGATAGCTGCTGTAGACACCTACTTTTGGCCTCTTGTCCCGAAAAGGAAGTGCGATGATGTTACAAAAACCCGTTCTTCATGCTAAATCAAAGTTGAAGTATATGGACTACAAAAAGCATTATGAAGTAAGTTAAAACCCATATTTGAGACCAATATATCTTAGAGCCTTGTCCAATTACTAATTAGGCCTAAAACGTGTTCATACATGTTTAAACTTGATTAATAACAGACCCAAATGCGTCAAATGCAATGATTGGATCCAATGGAACCTACATTGTTGAAAACCGAGACAAAAAGATAAATCAACCATCAAATTCCCATGCAAGTCCTATATATATGGATATCACTTTCAAATATCTTTCCAACGGTTTATTATAAGCCCAATTCCGAGCCAAAACGAAGAAGTTATGATCAAAACACTAAATCGGGCCCAAAACCGACACCCTTGCACTCCAACGGCCATAACTTTTAATCCATACCATATTTTAACCTAATTCTAACGGCATTAGAAAGTAGAAATTTAGAGATTTCCAATGATATCTCACACGCCTTAATCCAACTCAGCAATCAAAAGTTATGGAAGTTTTAAAAACGCATTTTTGTATAAGGCAAACCGCAAACCAACGCAACTCGATAAGTTGCGCGCGCCTGGCACGCGCGACTCATTGAGATGCGCGCGGCACCCAGCGCGACTCAGAGAGTTGCACGTGCCACCTGACGTCGCGGCTCTAAAACCCTAAACCTAGATTCCTACGCCTATAAAAAGGGGTCTTCGTTCAGCACTAAACACATAGAAAAATCAGAATTCTAAACCCTAAATTCTGAAATCCTTAATCTCTCAAATCCTCTTACTATCATACTACTTTTCTTCTCTCTTCCCAAATACTTTCCAACCCTAATTGAATCCATTGAAATCCTTGGAGGTATAAAGAAGAAATAAGGTCCAAAACATCTAAGACGAAGATCAAAGCATACAAAGAAGAACGATTAGTTTCCTGAGCACTTAGATAAATCACTTTACTTATATTGTTTAAATAACTTTAATTGATTAATTAGTGTTGTTTGATCACTTTAAACAAACTTTTAATTAATTCATTCACATAGTACTCTTTCGTTAATCGATCAAGACTAGAATTTGAATAATTAATTGTTGTTTTATCACTTAAGACAAGGTAAATCTTGTTTATTTATTGTTCTTTCACGAATATTGATTAAATAAGA